TTTTTTTTTTTTTTGGTTTGCAGGGACCTTCCCTGGCCCTTACACGTCCCGGCCGCCCATGCAACCAAGGTAACACGGGCGGCCAGGTTAATAACCCAGGTTGTAAGTCCATACTTTTAAACTTAATTCTGGGTAGGAAGGCTGAATACATCACACAGCCTTCTGGATAATTTTTCTCAAGAAATCTACAAAAACAAAAAGAACGAACCGTTGGCCCACGAGTAAGCGGAGCGAGCTGGGAGTCTGGAGTTCGGAACCATGTTGAAAACCACAGCCATTGCGTGGTCTCATTAAGTGTTTGCCTGCTGTAGCAAAGACCTTAGCCCGTGAGCAAGGCTTGGATTTGGCAGCATATACCATTGCCAAAGAAATTGAAAGAATGGTGCAGTATATAAGACTTCACTATGCACTGGCGCTTTGAGTGTGCGGTCACTGCTGTGTGATAGTAATTGCCGAGACCGCAGAGAAGTCTGGAGATACGTGGCACAGAGTTTCTCTGCAGATCAAATGACACATTCTCACATTACCTTGCAATCACGACAGGGATCCCGGCTTCAGCAGATGTCCATGCAGCATCCAATTTCGCCGTCATTCCACCTCTCCCAACGCGTGACTTCTCACCAAACGTCACAGTCTCTAAATGCCTCTGCAAATCAGCAAAAGCCATGCCCACAAGACAAAAGAAACTACGTCAACATATGCCCCTTGATGAGAGAGGCCCAGGAAGAAAAAGGTTGAAGTAAACACAAACTAAATGTCACCTGGAAGCACTGCACAAACTCCCAACCAACCAGAAGAGAAGCTCTAACAACCCTCTCATCTGTCAGTCTCGCCAGTATGTACTAGTCCGTGGGGTTGCCATGGTCGAGCCTGGGTAAATACAGTGAATGGCCAGTAGCTCAGTGGGTGGAGCACCGGTTGGAAATGCGCATTGTGGTATATAAGGTTGCAGGTTCAAAACTCAACAGCCTTGTGTATGGACATCGGTGGGCGTTGACCAACGCACCGCCATTCACACACTCCCTTTGGGCTGATGCATGGTAATTATTACAGACACTGCCTGCGCACCACCCAAGGGGTTTAGTCCATGGTTGCAGTACGCTGGTAGCGGGCCTTGGGGGAGGGCTGTTTGAGTGGTCGGCCTGTCCGACAAGTGTACGTGTGTGTGTGTGTGTGTGTGTGTGTGTGTGGGTGGGTGGGTGTCAGTGTGTGTGGTGTGTGGTTCAATGATCTCTGGGTCATGTCTTGTGTACTCACCATGGGCGGGGTAGAGGAGTTAGGTTGGGCAGTGGTCTTAGGTCTAGATTAGGTAAGGTGCGAATTTATGTAGAGATTATGGGCCTGTCTGTGTGCCCGCATGGTACACCCGCGAGAGTCCATACTTGCATCATACGATCCTGGTCCCAGTCCGGCTCCGCTCTCTACACCCTCGGAAGGCGCGGGTCAGTGTAGCCTTGTAGGTCTGGGTCTACAGACAGGTCTGGGTCGCACCGCTGCAGGGCTCAACTTGCGATCTGACGAGGACAACAAAGAAGTTCACGAATGATGCCCCCTGGAGGAGACTGTCCTTGGGGCTGTCACAAGCCATCTGATCTCCCCACTGGTCGCGAACAACGACAGGCACCTTGCGAGGCCTAGCATCCAGCCTCTACTGCGATCTGGACTTCTCTTGAATTAAACCACCACTACCTTTCACAGGCAAACACAAAGTCCTAATAGCCTACTCCAAAAGAATCGGGGGCTCGGGGCAGGGTTGGAGGCCGAAGAAAAGAACATGAAAAAAAGAAGTAAAAAAAGAAAAAAAAAACTAACGAGTTTCGTATCCAGCGACGTCAGGGAATGTCCTCATGAAGGTGGAAGTTGCACCAGTGCTTTGAGGAAGGTATCTGGCCACTATGTGCGGAACGTGATTGCTGTTTTTCTTTCTTCTTCTTGTTTTCATGTCCTTGTAGTGCCCTGCAGGGTGTATTTCTCGCATGGCAGCTAACTTTCTCGCTTATCTCATACTCGCACTAGTGCTGTGGCAT